GGAGACCAGCCTGTGCTACATAGTGAGTTCAAGGCCAGCCTGGACTATGTAGTGAGACCGTGTCTCAAAAACAAAACAAAACAACTGCATTTGTTTTTCCTGTTTGATGACTATTTTCTCAGTGTCTCTTCTTATTTTTATTTATTTATTTACTTTCGGTACAGGGAATCGAACTCAGGACCTTGTGCTTGCCAAGCGGGCGCTTATGCCGCTGAGCTATATCCCCGGCTCAGTCTCTCTGCTTGGGGGTAGATTGTTAAATTAAATCTTGGAGACAGAATTTACCACGCTCAAGTGTGGTGACTCAAATTCCAGAGCCCAGGCCACGGAGAAGAAAACCTTGCGGTCATAGCAGAAACTCATTCAAACAAACAGAGGATGTCGGCTTCCAGGACTGCCGAGCTGTCACCTTTGCCCAGGGCGCGTTTTCTGTGCCTGTTGACAAAGTTACACCGTCAGTGGAAACAGCCGGCCAGGTGCCTCCAACTCGGAGCGTCCTGAGGCTGTGTCGCCGCGCCCGCGAGGGCTGTTTTTCTGGTGGCTTTTCTTTTTTCTTTCTTCTTTTTTTCCCCTCCTATGTCTGGTGAGTTTTAAAGCCTGCCGTGGGGTTTTCCAGGCTTTGAGGTGCGGGTGAATCAGAAAGCGTGTGAAAATTCTGTGTGTGGTCTAAGATGCAGAGCTCCTAGCTGGCGGCGGTCTGTTTTTAGAAGAGGCGTCTTGTGGAGCTCCAGCTTGGGCCCAGCGTGGTCCGTGAGCTCACTCACAAATACCATGGTCGCGTGGAGGAGAAGAAATGGTGGGGCGCTAAGCAGCAAGCTCGAAAGAGGCAAAATGTTGTCTTAGAAATGTTAATTTTATGGGGCTGGGGATTTAGCTCAGCCGCACAGCGCCTGCCTGGCAAGCGCAAGGTCGTGAGTTCGATTCCTGGTACCGGAAAAAAAACAAAGCAAAGAAATGTTAATTTTATTTTTTGTTTAGTGTTTCTAGAAACCTTTTGGTCATCTTGTTTTATTTTGTTTTTTGTTTGTTTGTTTGTTTGTTTTTTTGGAGACAGGGTCTTACTATGTAGTCCAGGCTGGCCTTGAACTCACTATGTTGCCCAGGCTGGTCTCCAACTCATGGCGATCCTCCTGCCTCAGCCTCCTGAGTGCTGGGATGACAGGCGTGCGCCACCACTCCTGGCGCTTGTGGTCATTTTGGTAGGTCTGTAGTTAACTAGAAATCTACAGCTCTGCAAAATGACAGCTCACTTGGTGGGTTTCCGTGGGGACTGGGCTTTTTTTTTCTGGTGGAAGGTGAGGGAGAATTATTGGGGGGGCTCACCCTGAAGATGTGGCGGCTTCCCAGGCAGGGCTGGGATGCAAACAGCCTCTCTTTTCACCTTCTTCTCTGGGTATTGCACCAGTTACGTAACTGTCTTGAGAAACGCAGGCGGTAGCTCCATCTCCAACGTGTGTTTCTCCCGCACCGAGCTGAGCGATCAAGTAAAAATGTAATGTGGCCAGGGATTGGCTGTCGCCTTGCTGTTGAAGACATCAGAACAAAATAGAAAATATTTGGCTGTGAGGACGCGGCTGGAATTCACATGCTGGGGTGGTGATCCCGGTGTCGCAAGACCTCAGCCGAGCACAGGATTTTAAAGTGATGGGTGCGCGGCGACCCTCCTACCCCAGTGTGCGCTTCCAGCGTTGCCCTGGAAAATGCAGCGCTCCTCAGAAATGTAAGGTTTTGAAGTTTGTATTCCCCAAGCGTGAAGAGGTCCAGTGTGGACAGAACTCGACTTGGGGTTCCCATCCCACTGGTAAACCGGGCAGAACAACAGCTGCTTTTATGGAATAACTCATTTTTGTTGTTGTTGTTTTTTTTCCCCGGTACCGGGAATCGAACTCACGACCTCGCACTTGCCAGGCAAGTGCGCTAAATCCCCGCTGAATTAAATCCCCAGCCCCATGGAATAACTCATAAAAGAAAACATTGATCTGTGTAAACAGAGAAGTTAAACGCTCGCCCCGGATACTGGAACCCGAAGGTAAACGACAAAATCAGAAAAATATTTTATCATACTTGGTAAAGGGTAATGGGTTTATATTTTTTGTTTCTTTTTTTAGAGATAGGTCTTGCCATGTAGTCCAGGCTGGCCTTGAACTTGAGGTGATCCTCCTGTCTCAGCCTCCTGAGTGCTGGGATGACAGACGTGCATTGTCCTACTGGGCAGTATTTTTAGTATGTACATAATTTATGTATATATTAAGAGAAAGAGGGTTCCTATAATAAGAAAATGAACAAAAGAAGGAAACAACAAATAGCTAATAATATATCAGATAATGTTGAACTGCATTAGAAATCAAAACATGCAAATAAAAACAATGGCACAGCCCCGCACCGTAGCACACGACTATCATACTAGCCACTGCGGAGGCTGAGGCAGGAGTGTCGAAATTCAAGGCCAGCCCGGGCAATTTTGGGAGATGCTGTCTGCAAATAAAAATTTACAGAGGTCTGGAGATGCAGCTCAGCGGTGGCGCTTGCCTGGCATGCAAAAGGCCCTAGGTTCAGTCCCCGCTGCAAAAAAGCTTTGTAAATGATTTATGTGTTGATTTACCTTACAATGTAAAGGCTGGTGGTTTTGTTTGTTTATTTTTTGGTTTTTCTCCGGTACCGGGAACTGAACTCACGACCTTGCGCTTGCCAGGCAGGCGCTTTTGCCACTGAGCTAAACCCCCAGCCCCAAGGCTGGTGTTTTTGTTTGCGGTGAGCGGATCCCCACCACCAGTACTGGGAATTGAGCACAGGTCTTTCCCATTGAGCTACTTCCCTACCCTTAAAAAAAATTTTTTTTTAGACAGGTTTTCACTAAGTCTCTAAGTTACGCAGGTTGGGCTCAAATTTGTGATCCTCCTGCCTCAGCCTCCAGAGCAGCTGGTATTTTAAGTGTGTGCCACAGCCCCCCGCCGCCGCTACCGCTTTTTCAGTCTTGGGAAAAAGAAATGGATCTAGTTTATTTTGCTGCTTGCCACCCTAAACCTTGTGTTCACTGAGCTACTACTTTCTCTTTTCTGATGACGCCTGTGGAAGCGCCGGGTTTCTGGATTTCTTTCCCTGTAATTTTATTAGTCAGACGCGAGGACTTCTCCAGCCGGTGCTTGCAGTGTTCAGTGGGAAACAGCTGACGCGGGAGCTCGGAAGGCGGGTGCCCTTCCGCCTCCCAGGGACTCATTCTTCCCTCAGGAAGTTTCCATTCACTTCCTCCTTTGTAACCAGACCCGGGGCTTCCACAGAAAGGGAACCCGTGAATTACAAGCCAGTGAGGAGGAGAATTTCGGAGCCTGCCTATCTGCAGCAAATAAAAGGACAACTTTAAAACAGTTTTGAGCCAGCAGGCTTATACATTTCATGCAAAGGTTAATTAATTAAAAGTCTACCTTGTTCTGGGTTGTGCCTTGTGATTTATTATAACGGCATTTTCTAGAGTAGAATTTCTGTTTAAGCCAGCTTGGGGAATACTGGAGCATGGTAGTGCGCAGCTTTCAGTGCTTTTAAAACTCAAGTCTATAAACAGTTAATTAAACGTGTGAAGTGGATAAGCAGTGTTAGGGATAAAGCTGTAAGGGTGTTTCTCAGTATGCCTGTACTAATAAATTCTTTTGTTGGTGTTTTGATTATGTTTTGCTTATTATCTTTAACCTCTTCTTGCCTCCTGAGAATACAATAATCTCATTTAATTCAAAATTATATTCCCGTCAGTGTTATTTTTTTTTTATTGATTTTTGAAACAGGGCCTCACTATATAAACCAGGCTGGCCTCGAACTCTCAGTGACCCTCCTGCCTCAGCCTCCTGAGCACTGGTACAACAGGCGAGCGCTACCACACCCCCACTCAAATATGCTTTTTAAGGCTAAGCGAGGGAACAAGTTGGCCTATTAAAACTAAATATCTCAGTCCCTCTTAACATTCTTAATGTTGAGAGATTAGCAGAATTTTCAGAACTCTGATGATACACGGTCAACTCTCTTCCCAGTAAAATATCCATACACGAAAGACTTTGTGTGCACTTGGACGGGGTCAGGGCTGGGCGTGGTGGCACACACCTGTCATCCCAGCATTTGGGAGGCTGAGGCAGGAGGGTCCCTGAGAGTTTGAGGCCAGCCTGGGCTACATAGCAAGACCCTGTCTCAAAAAACAAAACAAACAAAACAAAATGAACATAAATGTGATCGGCGAGCAGAGGGGTGTTGGGTGGGTGATACAGAGACGAGGTGGTCAGGAGCCGAATTCGGGCGAGCACGAACCTCTCATCTGCTCTTGCTGCTTGGGGGCCTGGTAGGGGTCAGCATCCCCAAGAGGCGATACATAGCAACGCCCCTCGATGTCCGTTGTCGGGCCAGGCTCACAGTTCAGTGATGGTTGACGGGTTACACAAGTGCTATACAGTAATCCGTAGATTTGTGAAACATGCGTCACTTTTATCAACAGCACAGGGGTGCAGCGTCGGAGGCCCTGTTGGCTTGTCCCCTCCTGGGACCAGCTCCTGACTGGGGGCGGTGTGGGTCCTGCTGAGTGACCAGCCATGGCGGGTCGCTCCCAGAGGGCTCCCTGCCCACCCTGGGGCCGTCCTTTGCAGAGCTGACTTTTGTTTTCGTTTTTTGAGATACAGTCTCGCTATGCAGTCCAGGCTGGCCTCAAACTCACCACGGAGCCCCGTCTGGCCTCTAGCTCGCAAGGATCCTCCTGCCTCAGCCTCCCAAGTGCTGGGATGACAGGCGTGTGCTGCCTTTTTATCACACGTTAAGTCCTCATAGGTCCGATCCACTTGTGGTCTGTTGCATCCATGGATGAGTGCGTTTCTGGTGAGACCCTGCTGTTTTAATGACCAGACATTTTATTTGAGTCCTTAATTTTTTGAGAGAATAAGTCAGAAGGGACAGGGTTACATGGATTTACTTTACAATATGCATTAGGACGGATTTTTGAGGAGGCTCAGAATGCGTTTCATCTTCTTTGAACAGATGGCCCGGCCTCAGCGTTTGCTCACTGAAGAGTCGTCAGATTTAGTCTTCTTCCATCTGTCTTGCTGGAAAGATTACATAACGGCATAGTAATGTTTGAAAAGCGCTCAGCGCGATCTCGGCCCGGACACACAGTTGTGCTCTGGCCTTGCTGTCAGTGTGGTAAGACCCGCGCTGAACTGCTTCCAGCCTTTCCTTCCAGGCAAAACAAGACGAAAACGAAACGTTATCTGTGAAACATACACGAGCAAGGAGATCATAGCAGTTATCGTACGGGAAACGCAATACATTTCTGTTACGGACCAGCGCTGTCCAGGGTGAGTGTAATGTGAGCCTCCAGCGTTTGCTTTGTTTGAGACGGGGTCTCGCTACGTAGCCCAGGCTGGCCTCGAACTCACAGCCGTCCTCCTGCCTCAGCCTCCCGAGCGCTGTGCTGACGCTCAGCCCAGGCTGGCCTCGAACTCACAGCCGTCCTCCTGCCTCAGCCTCCCGAGCGCTGTGCTGACGCTCAGCCCAGGCTGGCCTCGAACTCACAGCCGTCCTCCTGCCTCAGCCTCCCGAGCGCTGTGCTGACGGGCGTGCGCCCCCGCGCCCCGCTCTGAACTGTGTCACAGTGGGTCAGGTTGTCTCTGTATCAGTTTGTTCCAAGCACACTTAGAGGGTTTCCAATAATTCAGTTCACTAAAACACAGTGATTTTTTTTCTGGTTCTGGGATTGAGCCCAGGACCTTCACGCTGAGGTCCATCCTCAGCCCTTTTATTACTGTTTATTTCGAGACAGGGTCTTGCTAACTTCGCCATTTAACTGGGCTCGAATTTGGGATCCTCCTGCTTCAGCCTCCCAGAGTTCTGGGAATGCAAGTATGGGCCGTGGCGTGGGTGGTGGCAGCCACCTCGGACAGCGCAGCCTCCTGGTGCCTTCTGCATTCTGTGACTTCCTCTGCCCGAGGTCCCCTGGGGCCCAGGCCCAGGGCAGGCCCAAGAGAATAAACGGGAAACACCAGCAGCGAGTGGTGCGGGCGCCGTGGGCAGCAGCGTCCCGAGCCTCGCACCCAGCCTGGCGAGGTCCCCGCGTGTCCCGCTGGGCTGTGCCCTGGCCTGGGTTCTGCACCCTTTCCACAGCCATGGAGCATCTCCGCACGCAGCCTGTGCAGGGAGCCGCCGGAGCAGAGCGCACTCAGGCCCCGCAAGCGGCCTGGGCTGTCCTGCTTTGGGAACCGCTGACGGTGCCTAATTCACAAGTGAGCGCCAGCGTTTGGGCCGCGTGGGCAGAGGCGGTGCAGCGGGACAGGGGCAGAGCTCTCTGAGGTTGACTTTTTTTTTTTTGAGACAGGCTTTCACTATGTAGCCCAGGCTGCCTTGAACTCACAGTGATCCTCCTGCCTCAGCCTCCTGAGTGCTATCCCAGGCACACGAAACCACCCCAGGCTTGTGGGTGCTGTTCTGCTTTGGTAGAAAAGAATCCTACTTAGTTTTTTCACTTAGCTACTGGTCGTCTTTACGAGACACAAAAGTTGATGCTCGAAATCTGAGAGCTAATTACAGACACAATTTCTCCTCTCAAAAGAAATTTCCAGGCAGGCACAGTAGTACATGTCTGTCATCCTGGCACTCAGGAGGCTGAAGCAGGAGGGTCCCTGTGATTTCAAGGCCAGCCTGGGCTATGTAGCAAGCCCCTGTCTCAAAAAATCAAAATAAATAAATAAAAATTTTAAAAATAAAATGTACTCCGTTGCTCCCTCAAAGTGCGTTGTGTGGAGCCGAGAACAGGCAGTCATGTTCGAGGATTTCACGATGCTTTGTTCCGCCCGTCTTTGGCATTGTTGTGCTAGTAGGATTTGACCTACATTTCGTTCTGTGGGGAAGCGTGTGCTGTGGACAGGAACTGCTGTGCCCTTGTGAATTTTTAACTCTGTGCGGTATATTTTTAGTGCCTTGGGCAGCTTGACTCTGCAGGTCACCTTCGGTTTTTGTTATTGTGGTTTTGGTTTTTGAGACAAGGCCTTGCTTGTACTCCAGGCTGGTCTTGAACTCACGGCGATCCTCCCGCCTCGGCCTCCTGAGTGCTGGGATGACAGGCGTGCGCCCCACACCCGGCTGTTGCAGCTCATATTTGAAAGATAAAGAGTTTGGCTCAACCGCCACAAGTGTGACAGTTATCCTTCCAGTAGGGCTGTGCTCTGGACAGAAGCTGCAGGAATCCCACTCTGCCGGTACCGGGCCCCCGTTTATTTCATGTGAACGCAGCTCCATAAGGCAGGTGGTGTCCGTCTGTCCGGTCCGCCTCGCCGGGGCTGAGCCGATGCCCTGGTTTCATCTGAAATCGCTCTCACAGCCCCAGGCCGGTAACCCCTGCTGATCTGCCGGTGCTGGGAGACTTCTAGAACTTTCTCACATCTGAGCGTGAGCGCAGGGACGCAGGTTGGGTCCAGTCCCTTCCGGTTGGGGGCCACTGAGACATCAGGAGCAGAAAGGCGCACAGGCGCGGCCGGGGCTCGGAGGCCTCCCGAGGGGTTTGAACTCAGGTCCTGGAAGCCAAGCCCGCCAAGCCCGCCAAGCCCGCCAAGCCCGCCAAGCCCCGCCCACAGCACCCAGAGCAGCCAGTGGCGCGGGTGCTGAGCAGCGTCTGCGCCTCCGGGCGGCTGGGGGCGCGGTGCGGGGGAGGGGGAGGGCGCGGCCCCTTTGGCTCCTCCCGGGCCCCACCTGGCCACCTCCAGAGCCCGAGAGGGGCCTTCGCCGTGGGGCGCTGGCGGCCCTGCATTTGCTCGGGGCTCCGAGTTGCAGCAGAGGAGACGGGAGCTCATCAGACGAAAGCCTGCTCCAGCCCCGTTTTTAAGCGGTGGTCACACACGTAATAGAATACCCCATGGATACGGGGCCGCTGCGTATGAGACCAGCGCTCTACGCCTGAGCTACGTCCCAGGCCCATTTGATCTTTTGTATTTTTTGTTTTTTTGAGACAGGGCCTTGCTATGCAGCCCAGGCAGGCCTCGAGCTTTCGGCGAACCTCCTGCCTCAGCCTCCCGAGGGCTGGGATCGCAGGCGTGCGCCACTGCCCCAGCCCCATGGTAACCGTTTCTAGGAGCGCTTCTCAAAGGCGCCAAGTGCAGTCGCACGGGTGTGCAACCGTTCGTACGCTCCGTCTCCAGAACGCTCTCGTCATGGAAAGCAAAACCCCGCTCTCGTCAGCAGCGGCTCTGTAGCCGTCCCTGCGTGTCCTAGCAACCCCGAGCCCCCAGGACCCCGAGTGCCGGCTCCTGCCCCTCCCACAGATGCGGCTGCACGGCCCTGGCCCTGGGCGCCGCTTTATCCTTTTCAAAATAAAACGATCCTGCTCTTGGAGACTGACAGCTTTTGCTGCCCCTAATTGTGTAGCTCTGGCTTTGTCAGACGAGCGACCCAGCTGCGTCCAGGCGTGTCCTGAGCTGCTCCATCCAGCAGCGCAGCGGGCGGGGGGCTGTCCGCGCCACAGATGCGACCCCGAGTCCACACGGAGGCGCGGCACCCCGGCCGGGCGAGGGGCCTGGACTCCACGATTCTGGAAACACACCGCCTCCGGCGCAAAGCCTGGCTGCAGCTGGAAAATTCCCGCAGCTCTTGTTTACGCTGGCTTTAGACAGCATGGCGTGGGGCTTCGGGCCCCACCATAGGTTCATTCAGGAATGATGCACACACATGTGGTTCTTTCTTTTTTGGTGTGTGTGGTGTTTTTTTGTTTTATTTTTTGAGGCAGGGTCTTGCTGTGTAGCTTAGGCTGCCTCGACATCACAAAGATCCGCCTGCCTCAGCCTCCCCAGTGCTGGGCTCCCGGGCGTGGGCCTCCATGCCCGGACTCATTTCTCTCTTTCCTATCCCATCGAGTTCCTCCTTTTGTCTTTCCCTCCCCGGTTCCTTAATTGTCCTCCTCCTCATCTTCCTGGGGCGTTGGTGCGGAGACAGCCAGGCCATTGTAATCACCGCTTTGCAGCAGAGAAAGAGAGGGGCGCTCGAGTCAGAGGCAGAAATAGCCGGGATTGTTTTTAGGGCCGAAACCGGCTTGTGGGCCAAAGAGAGAAATGGACCTGACCAGTAGAGAGGAGAGCGGGGAGCCCTGGGCAGTGCTTGGAGAGCGATCTGTGGAGTTGGGGTTTCAGGCAGGGCCGTGGGCTGTGAGTCCCAGAGGACCCTGGACCGAGAGCTAGGGCGGGATTTTCCGTCCTCTCCTCCCTCCCAACAGGCGGGTCCCAGTGGCTTCCCTGATACTGTCAGAGGCCATCAGTGAAGTCCCAGGCGGGGCACAGCTCCTCTCAGCGCTCAGAGGCTGAGGCAGGAGGATCACTGCAAGTTGGAGGCCAGCCTGGATCCCTCCATGGTACCCCTAGGGCTCCAGGACCTGGCTGGCAGGGAGAGACAGGCGATGTCAGCGGCTTCCCGGGTCACGGCGGCCGGCGTGGTCCCCACGCTCTGTCACAGCCGCTGTCATGGGTTCGAGCTGCCAGCCCTGGGCTCAGGGCCTGGGCACAGCTGTGGCAGTGAGGCCGGGTGTCCAGCATCGGGTGTGCCGCCCTGCGGGACATCACCAACTGTGCCGCACCTCTGCAGTCCGTCCCAAACTGGCCGTGTGCCCCTGAGGCGAAGAATCTGAGCAGTCAAAGCGGGCACTGGGCTCCCTGTCTGTCTGACGGCGCCGCCTCCAGAGTGCGTCTCCTGCTCTGGCCACGGTCCTGCAGTAACCGGAGAGGACGGCTGACAGCGCCGGGTGCTCTGTTTATATTCAGCTCCTTTTGTTTTGCTTCTTCCTTGATTTTTTTTTAAAAACAGGGTCTCACGAGGTGGCCCTGGCTGGCCTTGACCTCATGGCGATCCTCCTGCCTCAGCCTCCCGAGTGCTGGGATCACAGGCGTGCGCCACCACCACCAGCTTCTCAGCCTTTCTTCTTGAGACATAATTAAAAGATGCCGCTGAGTTTGCCTGGAGAAGCAGCTTTCTCTGGAATTTCAGCTCGCCTGGGTGTCACCGCAGCCCACATAGTTCCTGCCTGGCGTCGCCAGGGGAGCGGTCGGGTCGCTGTGTTTCTGGGCAGCGCCGCTTGCGACTCTGTTTCCCTGGGCTTGGACCTGCGGTGGCTCAGAGCCTCCGCCAGTGTGATTCACGCCCGTTATTCCTGTGAGCAGGATGCCAGCTAATGACCTCCGCAGCGTTAACACAACAGCGCAGGAAGTCGTGCACACACGGCCGTCTCCCTGTCCCGGCTCTTTGTGCAGAGCGGAGGTCTCCTAATTGCAGCAGACACCGATTCCTGGACACCTGCCCTGCCCCCCGCCCCCGTGCTGGCACG